AGATCAACAGATCCCAATAGGACAGCTCAGGAAACCAGAACAAAGTGTTCAACTACGTGTAGATTACTAGTGTATGTGAAACACAGTACCTTGTAGAATGCAGAGGGGTCATCGTTCTGAGCATCAGGCCACCTTTTGGCATCAAGCTCCATAACCTTGTCTGATTCCAAATTGGTGATGACCACCTTAAGAGGATTGAGTACCACCATAGTTCGAGGAGCTGTTTTATTCAACTCTTCTCTGATATGATGCTCTAGACGACTCACGTGTATCATGCTACCATCACTATATAACAACAACAGGTAGCCGATTCAATGAATATGATCAAGATAAGCCAAACTATGACGGACTTGTAATATAGATAGCAAACCTTCTGGTAATTCCCATTCCTCGTACAAAAGCATTGATCGCAGTAGGAGTCACGCCCCTCCGTCTCAGACCAGCAAGTGTCAAAAGACGTGGATCATCCCAACCATCAACATGCTTGTTTGTCACAATGTAATTCAACTGCAGCAAAAGACAAAAAAATCACTAGAACCAGCATATGATCCTCCGCAGAAAATGTTCAAAGTTGCTAAATAACAAGTATTTTACCAACCTTACGCTTGGACATTACAGTGTTTGTGATATTCAAACGTGAATATTCCCAAACATACGGCATGTAGAGATCGAGGGAATGTAGTAACCAGTAATATGAAGCTCGCCGGGTTTCGAATTCAAGAGTACAGAGCTACATTTTATAATAAATGTGTCAGAAATGTGTAAACGCTACAAAAGCCAAAAGACCTAGAAAGAGGACAAACCGAATGTGTTATATTCTCGAGAGAGTCAACAGTGCAGTGGGCAAAATCGTAGGTCGGATAGATGCACCATTTGTCACCAGCATGAGGATGAGGTGTGAACTGCAAAAGCATACAAACAAATCAGTTATCCCAAGAATGGGGGAAGACACGTTCTTCTGCAACCAGAGATAGTGTTTGTTTCACTTGCCTTTATACGATATGCAATAAGGTCATACATATTGCAATTATCATTCTGCATGTCCTGCTTCATTCGCAGTGTTGCCTTCCCTTCCTCAATCATTCCTCGTCTCATTTCTTCAAAAAGTCTAAGAGATTCTTCAATAGGCCTGTCCCTCCATGGGCTATTCATTTTCTTCTCTCTGTACTTTGTTATCTCGTCAGCATTCTGAAGACGAAAATCAATGATGTCGAGAGAATAAGCTCTATGTGTGGAGTAAGTTACAGTGCAACAGAAATCTATAAAAATTGATTCGAGTTTTGCACAAAACAAAAACTGATCTAACCTGATGATCAACATAAGCATGGCCTCTCCGAATCAATTCAACTGCCAAATCATACAATTCTTGAAAATAATCACTGGTGTACGTAATCTAGGAGAAAACAAGGAAAAAATAGATATATAAGCACACAACAGCAATAAGAATAGGTTATTCGTATGTAAAAGTAAGAATACCTTGAAGGGTGCCCAACCCATCCAGTTAACAATTTCTTCAATGTGATTAATGTACTCTTTCTTTTCTGCTTCGGGATTTGTATCATCATACCTGAAAAAGCAGACGTAAAAGAATCATGAACTATGTCGTTATAGAAGAAACAATGATTGCAACAGAGACGTAAAAGAAAATATGTATGCTTACCTAAGATAACAGCAGCCCCCACGCTCCTTTGCGAGACCAAAATCGACAAACATAGCCTGAAATAACAAATTTTCTGTCATCATTCAGAGTAACTAACGACCACAATTTATGTCAATCTTACCTTTGCATGTCCAATATGCAGATAACCATTAGGTTCAGGCGGGAACCGGGTATAAACCTTCCCTCCAGTCACCTTGAGATGTTTATCAAGCACTTCCCTATTATTGTTACATCTGAGTACAGAGCCATCGCTATAAAACACTTCTGTATGAACCTGAGAATATATATCCGTTAATGGTAACTCAACATTGCTAACCAACGAATCCCTATGAACATATGTTACATGGCAACGCTAGCTATGAATCCACCTACGAACGAGAATATCACATCAAATATATTGGCATAATCGATTTGTTTCAAAAGCTATACTTTCCCAGTTTCACAAGAGCTACCGAAGTCGTTTTCAACATCGTCAAAGAAGTTTGTCATAGATCACCATTCACCACAATAAACAACTAAACAAGCGCAAGCAATACATATAAAATCCATTCTACTCGTGTTATCACCAAATCCGCATGTAGAAGTACATAACCAAAGGGAGATGATTCAAAAGTGTAGAACGTGGATTTGAAAATCTCAATAAAACAAAACTATCGGAAACAAGCAAAAAGCAGTGTGGTACCATCAAATTCTGCTCTGGCTGAGGGAATATAGAATATGGATTCATATTAAGCTCCTCTTCAGATGGCTCTGGGGTAGCTTCCACAACAGCTTTCTTTTCCTACACATATGCCACATAAAAGAATATCAATCGTTAGGTTTTAAACCTACTTTGTGCTATAGAATTTGGAAGAAATTTGATACCAAAATTTAATATACACAATAGAAAACACATACTTAAATACTCCATTTACCTCAGCTTTGGCAGGTTTCTCCTTCTTTTCCTTCTTTTTTGCAGGTTTTTCATGATCCGCTGCAGTTTTCTCACCAAGCAGTTCATACATTTTCTTGTCTATGAAGTCCTATTGCAGACACAAGACTGGATAAGCAACTAAGATTTCGATTGTGGGTTTTCTAAAACTGATACTCACCTTTACAATCTTAGGATCTGCCCATGGCAAACTTTTCCGGACATGTCCAAGTAATAGACCCGCTGTACCACATCAAGACATCACATTCAACCGAGTAAGTTGGTTATGTGAAAAAATATATATAGAGAAAGATAAAGAGCACAGACTAACCATTAGTTCGATAGCGCTGCTCCAGTATTGTTTTCTTATTCTCTTCAAAGACTTTTTCAACAACATTCTCAATATCTTCTGCAGAAACTTCAACTCCTGTTCCAAAACGATAACGAATATCTCAATTTTTCCACAGAAAACACAGCAATATACAACCTCCAAGCATCATGTTAATAAATAAAAACATAATCCCTATACAAGCTTGCACTAAGGAACAAAATATAACCGCATATAAAAATAAAAAAAAAAGTTCCTACCAACACCACATGCCTCCTCAAATTCATTAAGGTTGAAGTCCTCAGGATTGTTATTGCCAAAAAACGAAAATGCAGCATCCAACTGAGCTGGAGTTTTAATCTGCATACATAGAGAGAATCAAAACAACATCCCCAGCTGCAAAACACTATCAACCATAGTGTTATATATATATGCTAACCTGAGCAGTGACAATGTAGTTGAACAATGTAGGTCGATGCACAGGAGCATTATGGTACTTAGTAGCCACCTGTTAACACACATATTGAATCACTTAGTTCCTTTCAAGCAATGACAAAAAAACGGATTAATCAGAATATAGCTCTTACCGTGTACAACAGATTCCCAATAGTTCGATCGCATCCATTAGAGACACCAGCCTGTACACAAGATAAAACAAGTTTAATTAGCAAATAAAACAGAATCGAGGGAAGACCAAGGACCGAGAGTTAAAGAGGAGACCTCGTTGATAACGGCGGTGAGATTAGCGGTGACCTTAGGGTTGTTAATGGTTGTTTTGGCGGTTTTCTCATCCAAACCGATGCTGAGAAAGAGCTTCACAGATTCCTCGGAGTTATCGTCTTTGGGAGGAGCCATGGCGCTGAAACTAACTGACAATGGGACTCACGAGACGACGACGACCTCTAGGGTTTTGATAGTTCCTTTCTTCTCCGGTTTAGAATTTGATTTTTTTGGTTTTCTGTTAACCGTAAATGTCTGGTATAAAAAAAATATAGATTGGTATAACCGAACTAACATTTGGAATAACCGAGGATAGTTAGATGATGATTGTTTTTTCTGGTTTCTAGATTTTAGTTTTTGATTTTTGGTATTTAGATTTTGATTTTTCTTTTTACCGTAGATTTTAGTTTTTTGAAAAACATGAATAGTTGTTTTTAAATTTTAGTTTTTACTTTTAAAATTAATAAAATGATTTTTTATTAAAAATAAAATATTTATTCTGGAAAATCAAAATGTTTATTTTGAAATATAGCTCATACATGTATGTATGAAATAGTAAATTAAATAACAAAAACTAATTTCCCTGAATAAAACCAAAAGTTATCAACAATATATATATATATATAATTTTTTTAATAACTAACTACAAATAGTTATATTTATTTTATTAAAAGTTAAAAAATAAGAGTTATTTTGTTTACATCAGTTTCTTATTAGATAAAATTAACATTCAAATATTATAAAAATTTACAATAAAACTATGTTATAATTAGCATAGATGTAATTTACAATATTAAATAAAAAAATGTGAAAATCAGTTTACTATTCGATAAAATATTATTCAAATACCGTTATAGTTTAGTAAAACTAAGATATATTATAATAAGAATAGAATATTGTTGATCAAGTGATAAAAAGATGATTCTACAAAAACTAAATTGTGTTATTTAAATTTTGTTATAGATTCATTTATTTGTTATAAAGTTTCCTTAGGTGTATTACGTATTATCCTATCCATATCATAGTACTAAAACTATTTTACGTAAGTTGTAATTATATGAATAAATAAATATAAAAAAGTTTCAAGCAACAAAAACTAGAAAAAAAAACTGGTTTTTGGTTTTTTTTTAATAAAATGACAGTTATTTTAAAAACTAGTATCTCTATATTTTAGGAAAGCTAAAACTCAAAAAACTTGATTGGCGGAAAATTGGTTTTTAAAAAAAACAAAAACCCCAAAACCATTCTAAAAACTTGAAACAATCAAACCTTAGTACTTTCTTCTTCTTCGGTTTAGAATTTAATTATTTGGTTTTCTGTTAACCGGAGATGTCTGGTATAAAAAAAAATAGATTGGTATAACCGAACCACACAAACATGAAATGCAACCGAAACCAGAACTCATCCGAACCATAGCCAACCGCTACGCCGCGAATCTCACCCTCTGCTTCCCTCTCCGACGAACCTCTCTCCAACTCGCACGTGCCATCCACGCAAACATCATCATTTTCGGGTTCCAGCCACGTGCGCACATCCTCAACCGTCTGATGGATGTCTACTCCAAATCTTCTGAACTCCGTTACACACGCCACCTGTTCGACGAAATTACCGAACCGGATAAAATCGCCAGAACCACCAGGGTCTCCGGTTATTCCGCCTCCGGTGACATCGCCCTCGCTCGCTCCGTCTTCGAGGAGATTCCTTTAATTATGCGAGACACTGTGATGTACTCTGCTGTGAACATGTTTCGTGAGATGAAGCGTGAAGGGTTCAGACCAGATAACTTCACTTACGCGAGTGTTCTTGCTGGTTTGGCTCTTGTTGTTGAAGAGGAGAGAGAGAGAGTGTGCAGTTTCATGGTGCAGCGTTGAAGTCCGGAGCTGGGAGTATCACTTCTGTTATGAACGCTTTGGTCTCTGTTTATTCAAAGTGTTATCCTTTACACTCCGTGAGGAAAGTGTTTGATGAGATCAGTGAGAAAGATGAGAGGTCGTGGACGAGTATGATGACTGGTTATGTAAAGAATGGTTGTTTTTATTTAGGGTTAGAGTTGCTTGAAGGGATGGAGGAGGGGATGAAGCTTGTTGCGTATAACGCGTTGATTTCTGGTTATGCTCATAGAGGTTTGTATCATGAGGGGTTGGAGATGGTTAGAAGGATGGTTGGAGCTTGATGCGTTTACGTATCCTAGTGTTTTAAGGGCGTGTGCTACTTCCGGATTGATTCAGGTAGGGAAGCAGGTTCATGGTTATGCGTTGAGAAGGCAGGATTTCTCGTTTCATCTTGACAACTCTTTGGTTTCGTTGTATTATAAATGTGGTAAGTTTGGTGAGGCAAGAGCTATTTTCGATAAAATGCCTGCGAAAGACTTGGTTTCTTGGAACGCTTTGTTGTCTGGTTATGTTAGCTCTGGGCATATAGGTGAGGCGAAGTTGCTTTTCAAGGAGATGGAAGAGAAGAATATCTTGACGTGGATGATAATGATCTCGGGTTTGGAGAAGAAGGTTTGAGGTTGTTTTCTTGTATGAGGAAAGAAGGTTTCGAGCCTTGTGATTACGCCTTCTCCGGGGCGATCAAATCTTGTGCTGTGCTTGGAGGTTACTGCAACGGTGGTCAACAGTTCCATGCTCAGTTGGTTAAGATAGGGTTTGACTATAGATAAACCATCTATGGTATAGCCCTTATGTCCAAGAAAGGCAAATTTGAACATCCTGATTCGTACCAAATCTTAAAAGTAAAAATGATGTACAAAGTAACATGCATTTTAGAGATGTTATAATACAGTTTTTTTTTTATGATTTCCAAATTTAACGTAACTACAATTTTCATTTGTTTCTTACAAGTTAAACTATCCTTGTGTGACACGTCGAATGAGTTTTTATAGCATATCAGGATTGGTCAGTCTCTACTAGACAAATGTTTCGTCAGTTTATAATGTATCATCAAGTTGGGACATAACTTTCTTGAAAAACAAATCTCATATGAATGCAACACTTGTTGAGAGACTAATAAGATACACCATATACTATCTTTTTATCTAAAAGATATTGAAAAGCTTCCATATTTATTCCAAAGGTCAGTTTGAAATGCTAACTACATATTTAACAACTAGATAACTATTTCGTAACTCCTCAGAAATAGAAATGTGAATTTAAAGATGACTCTAGATGTAACACTTTGGTTTGGTTTATAAAGTATTGGTATCTGATATATCAAATGGGTCTTATAATTCTTTCCAAGAAACGCATATGGATAAATGCAGCTGCAGTCACCTGCCTTCACTAATTAAAGATTCAATGTTTCTCTTTTTGGAAAGTTTACTAACAGTATACTCTGTTAGAGCAGCAAATCTTAAATAAAGTAGCTGGATAGGCACCGGAGCAAAAATGATGGACAGTTGCTGACCATTAACACACATGTTTCTCCTCGGGGAACTGGATTATAGTTACCAGACCAACGATTTGAAACCCCACAGTATTCGAACACAAGAGGTTAGAAGTTCGGAACATATACGATACTGAAGAATGATACCATTGTGATGCCTAGTTTTGACATGTGCCACCAGAACAACATCAGGATTGCTCTCTTGAGACAATAAACACTGATGAAGAGGAAGATCATAGCATAAAGAAATATGAGCCATCAAACTAGCACGGAAAACACCAGATGCCTACCATCAATGTGATCAGGATGGTGATGCGTAACAAAGACAATTAGCTTTCTAGGTGAAGCATCACCAATTTTATTGAGCTGGTCAAGACAAAACAATGCAGTTATGAATAGTTTAAAACTGATAAATGTAGAGAACAAATATTTGAAGATGTAAAAATTTGTTGTATCCATGCATTCCTAGAGAAACTGATGATACATAGTAGTAAGTGAGAAAACTACATATCGCTAGTCCCAAACCTCAATGTGAAGTTTGTAGATGCATCCAGGATCCACTAACAGCTGATTCAGCTCAGTGTTTCCCTATAAAAGCTACAAAACTGGTCCCTTGGTGGTCTCTTAAAACCATTTTCTGGAGAAAATACAACCAATTTTGTTGTTTTCATTGGCACAACCAATTATTCCTGATTTATAATTATTTTAAAATATTCTTACAAGCCGCTCAAAAAAAAGAGATTCTTACAAACAATTATACGATGAATGGATATTCATTATCAATTGTTGTAAATTAACTACAAAATAAAGATAACTTTTAGAGACAAAATGGAGTAATAAATTTGTAAAAATCGTGACCAAATATTTAGTTATATTTTTGTTGTTACCTAATAAGTTTCAACATTAATGTCCGGGAGTCCGGAGATACGGTCGAATCAAGCCCACACTTTGTGCTTCTTTTATTACATGCTCTGCTTGGATGGTAAAGAAGGATAGCTGCCATAGCTTGGAGATCTTTACTCGCTAATCGCTGTTGTGAACTTGTGATGGTTGTTTCAAGAATTTTTTACTCATTAAGACACTTTATGTCTTTGTATATACACCATAAGACACTTTCAACATGTGACATACTTTCTTTCTAGTCATTCTCTTTTATGCCCTTATGCAATAGAAAATTAAAAACGATTAAAAACCGAACCGGTCAGCGTCGTTCGGTTTAGTTATTGTACCAAAACCTATCTCTCCCAAATTCACAACCCTAATCTTTGTTTCAAAACACGCAGCTTCTCTCAAACAACGTTTTTTGAGAACCCTTTTGATTCCTCTTGCCATTCTTCATCCACAGCCTAAACCCAATCTTACAGCCTCTCTCCTTCCATTTTCGCCATGGATGAACTTGATTGTGATGAGTTTGAGATTTTTTGTGTGTAAGCTCAAGATCCGCCATGGATGAGCTTGAGGTCCGGCATCTCTCCCGGCGGGGCCTTGTTGTTAGGTCCAGAGGAAAGAATTAAAACCTCAGTCGCCGAAGCTGCAGCTTCTTAGATTTCTCGAGGTCTAGATCTGTGAATTTTTTATTTACAGTTTTAATTTTTTGGGTGAATTTACAGTTTTAATTTTTTGGGTGAATTTACAGTTTTGATTTTCTTGGTTGGTTTACAGTTTCAATTATCATAATATAAAATTTCAGTTTTTTCTTTGATAGATGAAGAAGGAGCTGTCATGATGAGCATTAACGTTGTTGTAGATAACTGTATGAGGACAAAGAGAAGGTGGAGAAACATGATTAGGAAACACCGGTGATAAGAGTGTGTGGTGTGGACATGAGAGAGGTGGAAGAGTATGTGGATGGGGGTTATTTGGATCCATGGTGCGTGGATGGGTTATTTTTGGATGAATAATGTTGGGCTGGTTGATGTGTGGACATGGTCATTGTGATATTGCAGTACGTTCAAGGATGGATATTTGTGAGTTAACATGGACAAAGTTTGAATCGTTTATCAGTCTGAGCATGAAAACTGTGAGTCTTTCTTCTTGATCTTTCCATTTTAATTGATTTCAAACTTTGAATGACGATTTATGTTAGTGAAGAGTTTGATTGTAATCATAATTACAAACTTCTCAAGATTGTTATTTTTAAGATTGTAGAGTCAGACATGAACAAAGCTTAAAGTTCATGTCTTGCTGATAATTAATGTGTTTTGTAACTTATGTTTACGGTAGCAAAAGCTTTTTCGTTTGAATTGAAAACATGAACACAAGTTATGTCTTTATGTTTCTTAGCTTTTCAAAGTCATGTTCTTTACTGTAAGAACTTTTGATAAACAAGTTTAATATGTGAACAAGCTTTGGTGATAGATGTTAAATCTAAGAGAGGTTACTCAAGTTTTTCATTCCTTGGGAATTCACATTGCTCGTGGTACTTTGTTTTATGTTCACATATCAGAGAGTTGATATCAGTGGAAGTTCATGATGTTAGATGTTATTTTTTATAGATTCTTACTTTCCCTCACACCTTATGTTACTAGGAAGACTCTGCAACTCGCTACACACAACGTTTTGAATCAAGAGTAGCACGGTGATGATTTGGTGAGCAAAGATAAACGTACAAGCTAAATGTCGTGGAGAACATCGGTGAACATGGTGTTGATGAAGGCAAAGGTACATCACCAGTGTCCTCTCTCGTGCAAACTAATACACTCTGACCACATCTCACACATCCACAACTCATGTGTCCACACCTCACCCATACACAACTCTCTCATCCACAACCCCTCTGCAACACGTCCAACACACACACTTTCGTTGCCTCTGCTCCTACATCTCTTCATTCAAGGAGTTGTCTTTCAAAACCAAACAATCCATCTGTAATATGTTAATACTAAGTTTTGTGTTTTTAAAATAATTTTTTTATTTGTGTACATGAGATTATCCACGTTCATGTCCATCTTTTAGATTTAAAGCAAACATTTTTCCATCCACTGGTCTAGAATGTTTAATGTTTCTTAGCATCTGTCCACAAACCAAACCGGTTTCATTTTTAGAACACAATTTAACCGAATCTCATCAAAAGGGCATCAAAGTCATAAGACTCATAAACTGCCAAAAAAAAAGTGTCTCAAATGTTCAAAGTGTCTTTGAATGAAAGACAAAGTCAGATTGTGGCCCATTATGAAAACAACTCTTGTTTCAATCGAAGTTTAGAACTATATGAAGTAGCATATTTGCTGATTATTGTGTTATGAACTACTATTTTCGTTTCAATTTATTTGTCCTTAGATTAAAATTCTGTTTGTATCGTTTTACAATTTCAATACAAAATTTATTGACTTTATATATCATTCTATTTTTATTGGTTGATGTGGTTAAGTGTATAAGTAATGGTATTTTTATCTTATAAAATATATAAAACTAACTGTTCTCTTAATCTGTATTTTTTTTTGTTCAACACTTAATCTGTATTCAAAAACCTAAAACGAAACTAAAATAAAACAGATGGAATATCATTCATCGAAAGCTTATTTAAATTTTGTATGAATAAATGTAAAACAGATGAAAAAAACATAAAAAAACCATTCATTAGCATTTTACTTATTTCAGTTTTTACCCGAATTTTCTGATTTACTATTATATATGACATAAACATCTAGAATCAAATTATATATACTAGTGTCTTTGTCCGCGCTACGCGCAGAAAATGATTTTTATTTTTGACCAATTAATAGACCAAAATAGTTCCTCTATATTATTTATTAATTTTTTATATTTCTAAAACAATTTAATGAATTTAGAATTCATCAATCAGAAAATGTCTAAAACAGTAAAAAAAAGGTATATAGGTTGAGTTTTTTTAAGGTACATATTGTTGCTTTGTGAATGTAACATTAGTTTTCTATATAATATATGTTTTTATTAGCTTCTGAATGGATTAATATGATTAATCTTTGGTAAAGTAAGAATAATATTTTATTCAGAATGTTGAGGTAAATAATAAACTTTTGTTCTGTTGTAAAAGTCAATTAGCCAAAATCAAACACGATAATGAAATTTATTTTTCATTAACCTTTATATATGTTTGGATTAGTGATTGTTATCAAGATAATTATCTTTTACTCTTATATGCTTT